TTATTATTATTATTATTATTATTATTATTATTATTATTATTATTATTATTATTATTATTATTATTTTATTATTATTATTATTATTATTATTATTATTATTATTATTATTATTATTATTATTATTATTATTATTATTATCATCATCATTATTATTATTATTATCATTATTATTATTATTATCATCATCATCATCACCACTATCACTCTTATCATCATTGTTACTAATATGATCAAAACTATCGTCACTATTAATATTATATTCAGAGGAATAAATCCTTAGAATGTTTTGAGGGATTTATTTCTTCTTGATCTGTTCAGAAGATATTCTTATAGCTCACAAGTCAAATACAACTCTCATACATTCATATAGCAAAGTATTTCACTTGCTACCACATCACGGACCTTACCATGTTCTTTTTTTTGTGAGAACATAAACTTAGAAAGAACATAATGGATATTGGCAGTAATCAAAACAACTAATTTATCAAGACTGATAACTGACAAAAAGGTTTCTAATTAATATTTGCCAGACAACAAAAATAGATCATTTACAATAGAACAGCAATGATCAGAATTGGAATTGATTTTGGTGAATATGAAAAGGAAATGGTTAAGCCATCATGAAATACAACTGAATTCTTTCGTTTCACATTCAAATCAAAGCTGAATGTTTTGGTGAAACTCCCGCGGTCACAGTAATCTGGTCACTTCCCAAAATCTTTCATTTTCCCATGGTGCATAATATTTCAGTAATTTATTGGAAAGCCGTATGAATTACTACTTGTTGCAGATATATTTCTTTTCAAATCGAGTAAACACGCAAATGTAGAAAACACGATGTGGACATTATATTCTAAAGACACGTGAGCTGACCATACGATGCAGAGTACAACATATTAATTGAAATTGGTGGAGCAAGTAAATTGCAGAAATCTTATTTACTAAGACACATGATTAGGCCTATAAGACTCATATTACTTACCGGAAATAACTTAAAGTTTTCATTGATATTGTATAATTGCCTCATTCAGTAATAAATCTTTCGATAAAGAATTTCACGAATTCGCCAACTTGAACTGAAATGCATTTTCCAGACAAAAACGCTTTTCGCTTTTCTTCATAAACGAAAACTCTTTTCTTTTTTTCATAAACGCTTTTCTCGATATTCAAAGCAATTTGTGGTTGATGGTCACCCTTTGGAACGACATCTTTCGCTGTTCTGAAAAGTGATTTGTCTAAAAATTAATTGTTTACTCAGTCTAGTCAGTTATTTCCTTGTTTACGTTGCATTTATCCATTCATTCATCTGTGACATTGCTTATTTGTTTAGGGATCCCCACACAAATATTTCATCTCTCTACCTGTTTGCTAACCTAATCTAGTTTTGCTATCAGTGTTCTTTCATTTAGGCTCATTTATCCAAGTGTTGTAAAAGCCAAGACAATTCTGCCTTAAGAAAACACCAAATCAACGACTAAAATAATGCTTGTGAACTAATTATGCAACGGTGTTTTTTATATAGAGAGAATACCGAAAAAACTAATTGAAGCCAAAGTTGTTCAAGAATATTATCTGAAATGAAATTTATTAAAACACATATTAACTAACCTTATTTTTTAAAATAACTATTAAAAAGCCATTGCTGCAATGATTTTCCACCAAATTTAATGCTCTTTACAAAATCTTCATTCCCTATTCCTGTCCGTATCCGTTCCGAAAACTTTTCTTAAATTTTAAGGATTTATAACCCTTATAAAAATAACTTCTACATGGATGGATGATTAGATGACATGAAAACAGAGTTCAGATCAAAAGTTATTTTCTAGTGATGGTTAGAGATCATAAATCATAACAGCAATTCAAATAGGAGAACTTATTTTAATTATTTGCGTGTCAGTTAAAAAACACATGCATATCATCAATTCGCAGGAGTTATTTTTCTCTAAGATCGTTAAAACAAATCGATCCTTAGACATACACCTTTGTCATCATTACAAAATAAAATGCAGAAGTGACAAAAATGTTTTTACAAGCCATTGCTGATTAGAAATTGGTTGAAAGAAATGATGAGTTATCAAAAATCAACGGTTCATGTTTCAGTTAAATGACTCTTTGCATTCAACTAAATGATAGCCTACCATTAGTGTGAAAAAAAGATATTACATTATGTTAAACACTCTTTGATGGCTTTTGATCTGTGACTGCAGGATAAACTTACTTTACTAACAAAAAATTTCTCTAAATCATAATTCAGAGTTCTTTGGAAATTTTTTGGACCCACTTCATTGCTATTTATGGACTTATTTCGTGAATATGATGAAATAATTGATCAGCAAGTTTGATTCAATGCTTTTGAAAAAAAGTTCCATATTTTCACTTAAAAGTCGCTTTAAATGATGAATCATATCAGTGTCGTCTCCTAATAATGTTTTAGGTGAGAATAGAAATTTTGGTATCATCATTACCATATTTAATCGAAATGAAGCCATTAAATTAAATCAAGTATGATAGTTATTTCAGAAATACAGAAAGTAAAATGGAATGTCAGTTCGACCGATAACAGCTAATATGATTTTTTTTTTCTAAATTTCTAACAAGGGATATTATCGTAATCATTGCTATCTTTTTTTTTTTTTTTTTTTTTTTTGTAATAAACAGAGAACACCATTTTAAATTAAAATAAGTAAGACTTATTTTTTTTTCTACAAAAATTTGGTGCTCAGCTGATAATTGTAGCATCTGCAAAGTTGTCAAGCCAAGTGTTCCTCTAAATGGTTTTAAATAGGTCTTACTTACCTTGCTAAAATAATTGCACTTAAAAGTTTGATTAAAACAATCGAAAAAAATTTGAATACAATGTAGGTTTATAAAACAGTGAATATTCTTCCACCAAATAAATGAATCAGATAAGCTCGCGAAAAATTAAGTGAACTATACACTCAGGTTAAATGAATTATATCTAACAGAATGGAAATGATTGGTGAAATTATGAATACACTTTAAACTTTCGCGATTATAGCCAATAAAATCAAAAAAAGATCTAAGCTACCATAAATTACATGCAAACAATAATTTTAAGTTATAATTTATTTTATAAAGCGAATTGGCGACATTCCTGTTTTTTCTATTTAAATGACTCAGAAGTTCATCAAATATCCATTTCATATAAACAGTCTTTAATCGAAATCAACTTTGTCAAGACACTATAAAATTTCACATTTTAAGTGCAATCTTTTCAACACAAAACAAAATAGTACACCTGAATTTCATACTGCCATCACAATTTGTTTATTTCAATTCTTTGTGCTGTTTTGAAATTTTTAAGCTAACAACACTAACTGTATAATTTGCTAAAATACAAAGCAATTTCTTTCACTTTAAGTTGAAAATAAACAACAATTGCTTTCAAATCATTATATTGCATAGGAATTGCAGCCATTAAAACTGAATTACATGTTCTGGATGAATGGTGAACGAACTAAATTTACATTTCATGAGAGAGCCAGTGTCACAAATCATTGTAATACATCATCAGTGGTGTACTGTTTCATATTTGGCCAAAGCCAGCTTGGTCATTTCGATTCAATTTCATAATTTGATTTTTGCAGAATTTCAATAAACAAAGTAAATTAGTTTGTAATTTGAGTTCCGCCAGGCTATGGTACGAATGAATTGAAAAGAGCTCAATTTTTCCTCCACATACCACATTTCCTTTCTATAACTCTTTGACTTCTGCATCCTGTGATTTATTCTTTAACTTTCAGTTTTATTTTCTGAGGTCAAAAATGATTCAGTGAAATTAATTAATGCAAGATAATTCTCAAGAGATGTTTGTTACATAAATGGCATCGGTTTCTTCTTCCAAATCGTGCAAAGAGAACACTAATAAGTAAATAATGCTTTAAGACTCAGGTATTTCTTAGATCATGAATTTGCCGCTTGCCTATAATTCATATTTGTAAGAAAGCATTCGATCAATTTAATGCTGTTAGCATACTCACTTGTCTAGTTTATCAGTTACTGTAAATAATGGATCTTATAATCTGCATAGTTTTTATATGCGTTATCTAGGTAAAAAAAGGTGAGTTCAAAAAAGATATCTAGGCATATCCTTGAAATTCCATAAGGTAGTTTAAATTTTCATTGAAATCTCTTAAAAATAAGGTTGAATTGAGAAAAAGATGATGGTGAAAATGCTTTTTTCATCCGTTACATAGGATTTACGATTTACATTAAATATGTTAAGAAAGGAATTCAGATGAGCTGACCATCAATCAGTTCATTTATCGAAAGAATACCGATAAAAGAAATTGTCTGATAATTTTCTAGACTTTCCTTTATAAATTTCTAAAGCGAAACGATTTCTAAAATTTTTGGCATGTTTTAGATTCATTTAGTAAGTCTCAATTTGCATGATTAAACCACTCTATATTTTCAATTTTGAATGCATATTAGATTACTCCAGCAAGTGCAAAGCTAATTATTTAATGATTAATGAAATTAATTAATATCTGCAACGGGAAATCATGAAGTATGTGAAAAAAAATGCTGTGAATAACTAATATAACTGACACGGGTCGAAGGTAACAGCTGTGGTCATCAAACGACAAGCGGAAGAGTCGAGTAGGGTTTTCTTTTCATGTCCATTTTAAGAAAAATGTTTGGTTAAAATGGAGAGAGAGAGAGAAAGAGCATAAAGAGATTCACCGCAGAAAACACAAAATTTTCTCGTATTCTTGAAATCCTGACTAATTCCGGAATTGTGCTCTTGATTTTCTCTATTTGCATATAAGGGAAATTTCTATTTGCGCTTGATGAAAACAGATAAGATATGCTTGTAAAACAAACGAAAAGCATTTAAAAAAGCAATAAATCACAATGAAATATTGAAAATAATAAAATGTCATTTCATAATATAGTTTTGCTTTGTTTTCAAATAGAATAATGCTAAAAAAGACGAGTTAATTATAATGCACCGCCGAAATCAGGCATAATGAATGTGAACTGGAAAAATGGCCCAATAAAATATAACAAGTGGAACTGCTATCTCATCTCATTCCTCTCCTCATTTCTTGGTTACTTGCTGCAAATTTCTCTTAACATTTATTTGAAATAAAATTTTACCTACAAAAATTACTTCAGCACCATTAAGAAAAGTTTCTTCCTCATCATTCGTCTTAATTTTAACAAAGGTCTTGTGAGATTTCTCCCATAATCCTCATTAATTAATCGCTCAAATTTGATTTATAGAATGATATCAAAGCATATTTCTTTGCATTCTCTTATCATAGAACTAATTTTAATCGGATTTATCAGAACTGTTCAGAATTGACCGTTATTTACAGCTTTTATTTTCGACAAATTTATCTGATTCAGATCTTGATCACCTGATCAGTTCATGATTTTCAAGCATGATTGGAATTACTATACATTAAAAAAGTTTTGAAATTGAAATAAATCAAAGTTATAGATCGATAGATAATGAGCAACTTGGAAAAGATGCCGCTGAAAAAAAATTCGATCCGCAATCACATCTGTCGCAATATTAACTTTCCATGCATTATTCTACATTCATTTGTTATTCTATTTGTTTCTACATCGCATTTATCGATAATGGCACAATGTTTCGTATTTTAATCAGGTATCCAAATATACCCCCCATTGCACGGTAAGTAAATTGTCACCGTGTCCTCTCTTTCCCAGCAAAAAGCTTAAGACAGACATTTTCCAGGGAATAAACATATCAAAGTACGTCGAGTGTATACTTTATTGCTACATATGAATCTATATGTCGAAAGAAGTAATGCATAACAGTAGCCTGGTGGGTCAGTAATTTCGTTAATCTTGCTTTTAATTTTTCAAAATCTGAGTATTCTTCTTCAGTATTGCCCTGGCTTTCACTAACAACTTCAACATAATAAGGTGATACAAAATCATCCAGAGAAATCAGCTCAATCCAGAGAATGTTTTTTTTTTGACATGTTTTTTTGACTAGATAGATCATTTACTGCAACTTTTACATTTTTACTGCAACAAAATTTACTGCAACAAAATCATCTAGAGAAATCAGCTCAACAAAAATCATCTAGAGAAATCAGCTCAACAAAATCATCT